ACCAAAAATTAGCTGGGCATGGTGGCGCGTGCCTGTAATCCCAGCTAATTTTTGGTACTTTTAGTAGAGACGGGGTTTCACCTTGTTGACCAGGATGGTCTCGATCTCTTGACCTCGTGATCCACCCGTCTCGGCCTCCCAAAGTGCTGGGATTACAGGCTTGAGCCACCGCGCCCGGCCTCAGTGATATTTTCAAAGTCTTGGTTACTCTGAGCTTAAAAATCAAGAATTTCCTCAAGTCCTGGTTGCTGCAGGATTTGTCCTGAAATGCTGATGGGAGGCCTTGGTTCAGGGACATTGACTTAGTGTAGTCATGCCTTGCTTAATGAAGGGGATGCGTTCTGAGAAATGCCTGTTAGGTAGTTTCATCTTTGTGTGAACATCATAGCCTACTACAGGCCCAGGCTACTACTGTACGGCATAGCCTATTGCTCTGAGGCTGTGAACCTGTACATTATGTTACTGTGCTGAATACTGCAGGCAATTGTAATGCGGTGGTAAATATTTAAACATAGAAAACGTACAGTAAAAATACTGTATAAAAGATAAAAAAAATAAAGCAGTGTGGGATGGTACGTGTCAGTTAGTGCCAACTACTTGGGAGGCTGAGTCATTAGGATTGCTTATGCCTAGGAGTTTCAAGACCAGCCTAGGCAACACAATGAGATCTCATCTTTTAAAAAAAAAAAAAAAAAAAAAGTAGAAAATGGTACACTTGCATAGGACCCTTAGTGTGAATGGACCTTGTAGGACTGGAAGTTGCTCTGGGTGAGTGTGTGAGTGGTGAGTGAATGTGAAGGCTAGGACACTCTTGTACCCTACTGTAGACTTTATAAACACTATGTCCTTAGGCTACACTAAACTTAAAAAGAAGTCCCTCCCTCCCTCCCTTCCTTCCTCTTCCTTCTTCCCCTCTCTCCCTCCCTTCCTTCCTTCCTTTTCCTTCTTCCCCTTCCTCCTTCCCCTTCCTTCCTCCTTCTCTTCCTTCCCTCCTTCACCTCTTGTTGCCCAGGCTGGATTGCAATGGCACGATCTCGGCTCACTGCAACCTCCGACTCCCAGGTTAAAGCAATTCTCGCCTCAGTCTCCCAAGTAGCTGGGTTACAGGCATGTGCCACCATGTCTGGCTAATTTTTGTATTTTTAGTAGAGACAGGGTTTCTTCATGTTGGTCAGGCCAGTCTTGAACTCCTCAACCTCAAGTGATCCACTTGCCTGGGCCTCCGAAAGTGCTGGAATTACAGGCGTGAGCCACCGCACCCAGCCAACTTTTAAATTTTTAAAAGTTTTTCATTCAATTGTAATAACTTAAAACATCAGCATATCTTCAAACATCAACACTTTGTACAGCTGTACACAAATATTTTCTTTCATTTATTTTATAAGTGATTTTCTATTTTGAAAAATTTTTTTTTTAACCTTTTAAACTTTTTTGTTAAAAACAAAGTCACCAACACACACATTAACCTAGGCCTACAGTCCAGACCACAGTATCACTGTCTCCCACTTCCACACCTTGTCCCACTGGAAGGTCTTCAGGGGCTATATAACATGCATAAAGGGGTCATTTCTTTTTTTTCTTTTTTTTTTTTTTGAGATGGAGTCTTACTCTGTCACTCAGGCTGGAGTGCAGTGGTGCAATCTCCGCTCGCTGCAACCTCCACCTCCTGGGTTCAAGCAGTTCTCCTGCCTCAGCCTCCTGAGTAGCTGAGACTCTAATTTTTATATTTTTAGTAGAGACAGGGTTTCATCATGTTGGCCAGGCTGGTCTTGAACTCCTGACCTCAGGTGATCTGGCCCAAGGTTCTGGATTACAAATGTGAGAGCCACTGTGCCCGGCCTGAGCTACCTCACCTGGCCATCATCTCTCACAGTAACAGTGCCTTCTTCTAGAACACCTCCTGAGGGACCTGCCTGAGGCTGGTTCATAATTAACTTTTTTTTTTTAATACAAGGAGTTGGCTGGGCTCAGTGGCTCACACCTGTAATCCCAGCACATTGAGGGGCCAA